TCCATACCTATTTACTTCATCTAACCTCCTTCCTTTTGCTAGTTTCCCTTTTATTTTTACATGATATATACACGCGTATCATTGTGTTTATTCATACATAAACAGACATAGACATACAGTTTTATGAAACTGCAAAAATTTAAGATCCACAAATCAGAGGAAAGATGATGTTTCACTTCCTAAATTACATGTTAGATCTATGCCTTCTGTTCCTGGGCCACATCTCTCTAAAGAAAATTATAAAAATGGAAAACAGCCTTTATCCTGTAAGAATAATGTAACAATTGATATTTTTCTTCATGAAGGTAAACATCTATATAGGGTACCTGAAAGATCTGGAGCCTTCATTCAAGATATAGACAACAGTAGAGTTCAAGTTTTGATTTTCCTCAGTTTTCATACATCCTTTAAGAACACCTTGCTCATGGTTTCTTCAGTGATCATTAATTATGGCTATGAACACAGACTGCACTGACTATGACATTCATTAAAGCTAATCTTTTGCTATTTGTGTTGTTTTCGTAGAACAAAATTCAGCATTGGTTGTGTGATTGTGCATACATTTAGGAAATTGACTGTAGTAGCAAATGGGTAAATTTGCAATGCCTTGTATCCCATCCCAAAGAAGACATCAGCCTATCAGCCCATCTTCAATGGGAAGATGACATCCGTATAGATATTTGCCTCTTATAATCCATGTGATGCTTTGATTTCTCTATTGTTTTCTGTGGTTGAGTAATAAATGACTATCACTTTAGTAGCTCATTAGTCCTCATATTTCTACTCTACAAGTCTAATAATCCTGTGACTGAGATATGAGCTCAAGCTCTTTCAAGATCTATATTGAGAAGTTGGGTATGGCTTGAAACATGGCCCCCTTTATCTCCAAAGCAATCATTAAGGCTGTCCTTTATGTATCATGATCCTTTCTGGGCATCCCTGAGTCCAGATCCAAATTCTACGGGCTTTCTTAAAGACACCTTCTGTCCTTATAGGTACAAAATCCTTTTTACGGAAGCAATTAAATGACTATTCCAGGTTATTTTGTTGCAGACAGGGAAGTGTAATGAGCAAAGTGGTCAAGGCCAGGCTGGAGAAACCCAAAGAAACTGCTGACCTGAACAAGGGGGAGCTCATAGACTCCAGTCTGATAGCTAGGAAACCAGCATTTGACCAACCCAGATTCCCTGAATGTGGTGTTAGTTTGGAGGACTGGACAGTCTATGGGGCCTCTGGAAGTGGATTAGTATTTATCCCTATCATATGCATGGACTTTGGGAGCCCATTCCACACAGAGGGATACTGCCTCTGCCTAGATACATGGGAAGGGCCTGAGCCCTTCTCCAAATGATATGATAGACTTTGAGGACTCCCCATGGAAGGCCTCATCCTCCCTGTGGAGCAGATAGGGGATAGGATGGCGGTTGTGGGGGGATAGGAGGGGGGACAGGAGGGTGTAGGAACTAGGATTGACATGTAAAATAAGCTTGTTTCAATTTTAAATTTAAAATTATATAAAAAATGACTGTTCCAGGAAGACAAACATAAATTCTTTGTTCTTTGTGGGACTTAGCTCCAAATTTCTATATGGGAGTATATAACCTAAAAGAGCCTCAGAAACCAGAAAATAAAAGGGGCTCCCATGGGTGGGAGACGAAGATCTAGAAACAGAGCTAGTAGGACATGAGAAAGATGAATGGCAAAATGACAAAATCAAGTGGGAAGTCAATTTAACAGAGGCAATCAGAGGGAGAGAAATGTGGTAGAGGGAAGGATTAAGGATAAATAACACTAAGGGTGGAACTTGTAGGGTCATTTATGTATACAGTCATATCTGCAAATAAAGATAATTTGACTTTTTTCCTTCCTAATTTTTCCCCTTTGTCTCCATTCATTTGTATTACTTCTCTATCTAAGACTTCTCATAGTTTATGGAGACAATGGGATACCTTGTCTTGATCCTAATTTTAGTGAAGATGCTCTGAGATTATCTTCATTTAGGTTGATTTTGGTTGTGGACTTACTGTGTACTGCCTCCATTATTTTGAGGTATATCCCTTTATACCTAGTCTTTCCAGGACTTTTATCATGAAGGGATGTTGGCTTTTTTTTTTTATTTTTTACAAAGGTCTTTTTTACATCTATTGAGATAACCATGTGTTTCTTTTCTTTTTCTTTCAATCTGTTCATGTGTTATATTACACACAGTACTTTATGTTTGTTGAACCATCCCTGCATCTCTGTGAAGAATCCTACTTTATTATAGTTATGATAGTTCATGCTGTTTTTGATGAGTTCTCTGATTCAGTTTGCAAGTATTTTAGTGAGAAATTTTGCATCCATGTTCTTAAGACAAAGGGGTTTTCAAGGCTTGTCTTCTCATGTCAAGACAGGGCACCTGTACCCTCTTCTTTTTTCTATTTACTAAGGCAAGAAAATCTAGAAGAAATTGAAGTTCATATTTTCTCTTAGATTTGCTCATGTCTAACCTTACAATTATGGGTTTCCTGATCCTGCACTGGTTCCTAATAGGCTTTCTGATTTAGCATCTTATGATGCTCTGTATTAGTCTGTGTCTATTGGGCTTTGCTCTGATACTTCATTTCTCCTGATATGGAAATGGGACTGATGATTTTTAGTTTTTCATTTTTCCGATCTGTTATTTCAACTGAGTCCCTGACAGATATGCAGAACTGGAAGCTGAAAGTCTGCTTTATTAACTTTCCTCAGAATTTTAAAAATGCCTATTGTTAATATTTCTCTTTTCCCTCAAAGTCGGGATAGATGTGCATCTGTGTGTGAGTGTGTTTTTATGTATTTCTGTGTACACAAGTCTTTCCTTGGCTTCTGGTCATCATGAATGTGGATGAACCTTGGTGTTTGCTGTATGACAGTTAGCTTGATTGATTTGTATTTGTTACCTAAAGTTATAGGCTTATTCTGTCTTTACTTGACTGTGTCTTCAGGAGGGGGAGCCACTAAGAAAAATTGTCACAGATCTCTACCCATTAGGGTATACACAGTAGTTTGAATGCCTTTTTAGTGCTGATACCCCTTTCTTATTCACTTATTTATTTATTTTACAAAGCAACCACGGTTCCTCCTCCCTCCATGCCTTCTGCTGCTCCCCCCCCACCTCCCCTTAACCTACTTCCATCCACTCCTCAGAAAGGGTAAGGCCTTCCATCAGGAGTTTTCCTTCCATCTCATTGTTTTAGAATTCAAACTTCACCTTTATCTTTGGATTAAAGGAAAAATGGCAAAGCCCTGAACTTTATTTCTGGGTTCTTACTGTATTGGTTACTATTTTCTTTGTTGGGACCAAAACGACTTAAGAACGGAAGGTTTTATTTTGGATTATACACAGTCTTTCATTGCAACAAAGTTTGAGGGAACCTGTCACTTTGAATCATTAGTATTTAGAAACAGAGTTTTGCTGTGTCAATTTTTATTTTACCAGGTCTCCATTACAGGGAATGGTGCTGTCTATGTTTAAGGTGCATCTTTCCATCTCAATTAGCCCAATATTATTACTTCCTCACAGACTCACTTAGCAGTTTGTCTCCTGGAACTATTTTGGATACTATCAAGTTGAAAATTGATATTAATAATCATCACACTGATAAGTCAAAACCTGTTTGAGTAATTATTATTATTTTTGTTATTAATCAGGTATGCTTATACAGACTGAAGAAAAATATTTAAAAATGAATTGTGTGGTCAAGTAAAGAAAAAAATTCTCTCAACAATTCACTGAGCAGAATACTAAATGCTAGCTCTGTTATTCCTAACAGACACCAAGAAGAGAGATAATGAGGAAGTGATGGACAGGAAACAATTTGAGCTGATCTTAAGGTTCATCCTTTAGCTTAGGTTCCCAAATTTCCGTACTCCATGTTCTTGTCTCTCCATCTGTTTATTTTCTGGCTCCATTTCTAGATGTAGATAAAAGGCCACTTACTGGAGATAATCTCCCTTTCTAACTGAACAAAGTCATTCTCACTCACCCTTTCATGAAAACCAGTTCATTTTCCCATCTTGCCAATACTGTGACATGAATCGCCATTTCAGAACTGCAGCACTGTTGAGGAATTAGGCTGTTCTTACATGACTACCATGCTTTGTGGGAGAGCGTTCTCATTAAACACTCATAGCACACACCTCAAAGAGAGTAGGATTTGAAGCTTTTGCGCAGGCGTGGGCATTGTGTGTTCCCAAGTGGCAGCATAAGTCACGCACATCAGCTTGTTCCTCTCCGTCTTATCTACTTCATTTCTGCTTCTTCCGTAGCACATGCATCTACTACTACTTTTCTAACACTACTCTACCACATATCAGTTCATCATAGTGGTACCTGCATGCTTGCTCAGAAGGATGCAGGGCAGGCGTGTGGGTCAATATTTGTTCTCTTATGAGGCTTATGGCAAATCCCACATGATTGATCCAGTCTAAGGAGAAAGTGTAGTAGGGAGAAACAGGAATAACTTGTAAACCCAAGAGTGAAAGTCTACCCTCAGACTGAGCCAATGCCTGTCATCTTCCTTCCTTCCTTGCTTCCTTCCTTTCTTCTTTCCTTCCTTCCTTTCTCTCTCGTCCTCTCTTCCTCTTTCTTGCTTCCTCTCTTTATTATTATTATTTATTATTTTGAGTTTGCAAGAGAGGGTTTCTCTGTGTAGCATTGGAACCTGTCCTAGAACTCACTCTGTAGACCAGGCTGGCCTTGAACTCACAGAGATTCACCTGCCTCTGCCTCCAGTGCTAGGATTAAATGCCTGTGCCACAACTGCCTGGCCAGTGTCTTTTCTTAATGTGTCCCCGTGAGAATAAATTGCTTAAGTGCAGAAAAATGGATGGACAAAAAGTCTCTGTAGCTGGAAGCCCGGTCAGCCCCTCCCTTACTGTTTTGCATCTCTTCCCACAGCCTTCTTTTGTCTAGAGTTCTTAACAGTGACTTGGGGCTCTGCAGTAGGATCTACTTCAGAGAGAAAGCCGAGTAAGCCATGGGATCTCCAGCCTTGCCGCTCTGTCTCCTTTTACTGTGGCTCTCAGGTGAGAGGAAAGCGCGTAACTCTGTACAACTATATCTAAACATTTTTACGTTCTATTACAAGGAAGTCAATCCAAGTGAATTTATCATAGTTCTGTCAGGAAGATAAGGAATGTGGTCTAGATTGCACAGGTGACTTTCCTTTTTTCCCTCCCATTTTCAGATGTCACTGGTGAAACTATAACACAGTCTCCAGCCTTCCTGAGTCTTTCTCCTGGTGAAACAGCCACTCTGACATGCAGATCCAGTGAGAATGTTGGCAGCTCCTTAGCTTGGTACCAGCAGAAACCTGGACAGGTTCCCAGGCTTCTTATCTATGCTGCATCCACCAGGGTCAGTGATGTCCCAGCCCGGTTCAGTGGTAGTGGGTCTGGTACAGATTTCACTCTCACCGTCAGCAGCCTAGAACCAGAGGATGCTGCAGTTTATTACTGTGAGACTTACAAAAGTTGGTCATCCACAGTGATTTCGCATGTGACAAAAACCTTCAAGAGACCACTGTGTGTTTGCCTCTACCAGCTGCTTACTTTTTGGCAGCTGCAATCCTGGTTGTTTAGTTTTAGCATTTTGTCTTCATTGTAAATACTGAGATGCTAAAAGTAACCTCAAGAAAATATCTGTGTTCCAATTTCCATAGGATGTGATAGGAAATTTCTTTATCTTATTCGCATTAATAGAAGCATTTATAAAACTTCTCAGTAACTGTTTCCTGAGCATTAACTAAAGAAGAGTGAAATTGCAGATGATAGATGTTATCTGGGAGAAAGGGACGAACCTGTTAGAGGGCGACCACATGCCTGGGACAATATAATGAGCAATGCAAAGAAGGAAATATAACGACATACATGTTTGAAAAATCCAGTGATTCTATCTACTATTTTGCATATAAATATACAAAGTTGTCAAGAAAGAAAAAAAGAGACACACTTACTCTTTTGAGTCAGAGCACCTCTGGGATGGTGTTCTTGGGCTATTGAACAAAGCAGGCAGAGCAAGCCACGGAGAGCAAGTCGGTAAGCAGCACTCCTTCATGGCCTCTGCTTCAGATCCTGCTTCCACGTTCCTGCCCTGCTTGAGTTCCTGTCTTGACTTCTGTCAATGATGATCTGACAAGAATGTCAACTGAGCCATTCCTCTCCAAAAAAGAGTTTAGATTTGTGATTATTTTATTTTTATAATATTACCTTTGAGATCCTTTCTTTGTAATTGCAAAACTGTGGCTTGCCAGAAAAAAAAACTTGCTGAGAAAAATACCTTACTTGATTACACGCTGTTAATCTATATCAAGTTGCTTATACTTAAAAGTATGTAGATCCTTGAGACTAATTTGTTTATACCATGTAATATATAATATGTTTAATCGTGTAAGAGTATTGGGGAAACACAATGATTTTTTAATTGTTTTCGTTGTAATCAATTATTAGAAAAACATAATGTAATCACATTGTACTTACTTTGATTATTATTTGAAAGATTTTGTTGGGATATATAAACTATAGGGGGGGGGGGAGAAGGAAAGAGTTAGAAGAAAGACATCAGGAACCAGACAGAAAGAAAATATCACGAAAGAGGAAAAATAAATGAGAGAGACTTCGACATGGTGAAGATGTGAGTGTGTGTTTTCCCCTTACTCTGTTCCCTAGGGAAATAAGTATTCCTCCCTCAGGCAAAAGTGTCGGTTGTGGGATCAGTCACTGACATCACACTCCTCTTTAGTGCCTGAGCCTTACAGCATCACCTTTCCTTCTATGTGTTTTTTTCCCAATTCTGGAGTGTTAATCACTTCTTATATTATTATATTATATTTTGTTATTATCCTATAGAAACTCATTTCTTTTCTAATAAGAGACATAAAGAGTGTGAATCCAGATGGTAGGGAAGGGGCAAGGAGCTGGGAAGAGTAGATGAGAGGGAACCGTCATCTAAATATATTATTTGGGGATAAAATCTTTATTCACTACAGGAAAAAATAAAGAAATGAGTTGATAATTTCTATGATAATTTAGTTTATTCATGCATTGATGGTTTTTGGTGTCAACATACTCCATGATATCCTATTTAAGTTGTTTCATTTTACAATCTTTGTGTACTGATAGTTAATAGAAAGTGTGATTACACACATCTGTTCCTTATCTGGAACCCTGTTGGAGACCATCACCATCCTCACTACCTCAGGCCTCTAAGAGAAAATTGTTGCCTCGTAAGTAGTAAGCAGAGCATTCCTAGAAACAGTCTTGCAGTTTTACAGCCAGTTAAAGAATAGCTCAGGATATTCCTTCTGCTGCAGTTTTACAGCCAGTTAAAGAATAGCTCAGGATATTCCTGCTGCAGTTTTACAGCCAGTTGAAGCTTAGTTCAGGGCATTCCTTCTCCTGACCTTTCCATCCTGCCTACGTGCAATCCCTCTCACATCCTGCCCATGGTCCTATACAAGCCTCCCCTGAGAAAATATAATTTGTCAGCTTGATCAGAGTCCTGTCTTGCTGCTGTCCTTTAGTAACCCCTTGTTCCTCATTCTCTCTTACATGTTCCCTGGTTCATTGTTCACTGCCCTGCGGGTCGAGGCAGAATCCCTGAATAAAACTAGTCAACAGATACTCCATTATATCCAATTGCACATTGTCCTAATATGATCATAAAGTATGATTTACTAGTCTTACTCATTTTCTTTTTCAGGATGATAAAATAATTTTTTTTTCCAGGAGAGAGTTTCTCTGTGTCTTTGGAGGCTGTCCTGGAACCCTAACCCTAACCCTAACCCTAACCCTAACCCTAACCCTTTTATCTGGGAAGCACTAAATAAATACTTTGCTATCCTGACCTTTGAAATTCTATATTGTGGCAGCTTGTAAGCGTCAATAAGGCTTCCATTCCACATCTGGAGAAATATGTCATTCTCTAGCATCCAGACTTTCTATTTTCTTGTCCATGATATCTCATTGTACAATATCTCTATAGTAGTACATGTTGTGATGCTTTGTGGATGTGTAGACTGTTAATGTGATTCAGCACATATTGTAAGAAACATCAAGGAAAATAACTTAACCCTGGACTAAGATGTTGGCAAAGAGAGGCTCTTTATTTCAACATATCATCAGGTAACCAGAAGGGGGAGATATATACTCCTCAAAGAGACAAGAGCCTACTCTCCTGAGCAACTCTTTATTGGAGTCAATATGAAGTCAGCATCATTTGCATAAGTACTTTTTCTTCTTCTAGTGTTCCCGCCTCTTAGAATATTATAAGAAGGTCCTCTTCTGGGCTGTGTCATGACATACTCAAACTTGGGGAAAGCAGGAAGATGGTGTCCACATCTCAGTTCCTTGGGCTCCTGCTCTTCTGGGTTTCAGGTATGAATGTTTAGATACAGGAAAATGTAGAGATGTTAAATTCAGAGTTTTCTTATATCATTAAGAAGTCTAGCATGATGTGGAATTTGACTTCCTTTTAAAGAAATTGATACAATAAAACAAGCTTTTTAATTAGTTTAGAAATGGCTTTCATAATGTAGTGTTCTACTAATATTTCTTGTATGTATTCAGCCTCCACAGGTGACATTGTGCTGACTCAGTCTCCAGCCATACTCTCTGTGACTCCTGGAGATAGAGTCACCATCACCTGCAAGGCCAGCCAAAGTATTAGCACAAGCTTACACTGGTATCAGCAAAAGCCAAGCGAGGCTCCAAAGCTCATCATCAAGTATGCTTCCCAGTCCATTACTGGGATCCCCTCCAGGTTCAGCGGCAGTGGGTCAGGGACAGATTTCACTCTCAGCATCAACAATCTGGAGCCAGAAGACGTTGCAATGTATTTTTGTCAACAGAGTAGCAGCTTACCTCCCACAGTGACACAGACCATAGCAAAAACCATCAGGGAAGCAGAAGTGTGAGGCTGGGCTGCTTCAACTACTTGTGGTAGTGACTCCACCTTCTTCACAGTGTTTTTCAGATGTAGTCAGCCTTGCGGTTTACAGGGAAAACTGGAGTGAACCAGCCTGGAAAGCTCCCTTGCCTCTGAACTCTCTTCACTCCACTTTAGCTCCAGAATACATACTCTACAATGGCTGTATTGTAATCAGACAATCTTCCTCCTCTATGCTATAGCCCAGAGAAATTGTAAGCTTGGATGGGCAGAAGAAAGGATCGATTCAGTGCTCTTATAATTGTCGAAAGGGCATGCAAGCTATTTCCTGAACTTATAGCCTATAAAATAACACTATCCCCATGGATATGAGGGCTGCGAATCACTGATCCATGTGTCAGTTGCTAATTTCCCATGCACATTTTATAGTAAGTGAACAATTTTGAATACAAAGTAGTTTCATGTTTATGGATCTATGTGAACTGTACAATCTAGTTTCATAAAAATGGCTAATTTCTTCATGAGTAGTTACAGCTACTACTTAACATAAAAAAATTAAAATTGGAATCAGTAAGACTGTGTCTGGCACAGTTCCAGTTATCTTGAGTTCAAACGAAGTAGCTTTTACTAACTAAGGAATTTTAGGGAATATACCAGTTTTTCCATTCCCTTTCCCACCACCTAATTTAATGGAGTTAGATGAAGCTCTTTGTGAGTGAAATGTGTGTAAGTGCCTGGACTGAAGCTTAGAAAATGAGAATTACTATAGAGGTATTTTAGATAAGTATGAGAAGGAATTGGGATTGTCTCCTGCTGTTTCTGCAAATGGAAGAAACATTGCAGGGAACAATCTTCATTCTTCAAGTGAGCGAACTTTCATTAAGTATTGTATATAATAGATAAGGGCAGAGCGATAAAAAGATAATTATATAAACATGATTAAGAATTTAAAATTTCATGGAGCGTGTTGTCTCATGTCTCTACACATAGCACTAGAATGCTGAGATAGAAGAATCCCCAAGAATCTAAGGCCAGTTTGGACTGCATGGCAAGATGCAGGCCAGTCAAGGCTACATATATTTTATATATTTTACACCCTATTACCCCTCTCATGCCCTGCTCTTACCTGCTTAAATACTTCTCCGTGCCAACAAGACCTTTCTGGTAATAAGATTGTGTTTACTAGCCTGGGCAAGGGAGGGAGATTATTTCTAGAACATTGCCTTATAAGTGACAAACTACTGAAAAAGTTGATAACCTTACCCCATATCCACTTCTGTCCATAGTCCTCCAGTGAGGCACAGGGTCTCATTTGCTCCTCTTTTATGAATGATGAAATGGTGACAGGTGCAAACTTGTTAAATTTTACGCCAATGACTATAGCTGCAGTGAGCACATGGTTCAAAACACCATTAGTAGATTTTCTTCTAGGGCTGGTGAATTTCCCAGGTATGACTTTTGAGTAGGTTTACAATGTAAGTCATGAGACTCATCTGCTGGAGGAACTTCCCAATCCAACTAGAAAGCAGGGTTTACTCCCATTATAGATGTAGCACTTTTGCACTGGTGAGTATGTCTTGCCGGATATCACAAATAACTAGGGGTCACTACCTGGGTCTATTAACCAGTGACTACTTTCCCAAGGAGTGTATATCAGTTTCCTGCCTGGTGAAAGCTAACTAGCGGAGAGGAAACTTACAACATCAGTTATGCTCAAAATAAAAATAAAATAAAACTGCACTTACATTTCAGCTCACACCATTTTAAAGCCTGTTTAAATAAAAAGGTAATGACAAATACCAATGAAGCAGTGCAGGAAATGCAACTTGTGTGCACTGCTGTTGGCACTGCAAAATATTAGAGCCATTATAGAGAGAGGTATGGATATTTCAACTTGAGAATGGGACTATTACACAGGACAATAGCACAACTTTTCTTACCCATCCATAGAAAGAGAAATAGTACACCACATAGCTCCCTTGTTGAGTGTATTTATTGTGGATTAGTTTCCTAATAATTTTAAGATGTTAGTTGATAGGGATGAAAAGTTGAATGGATACTATTTCAGCAATAAAGAAAAATGAAACTTTGGGTAGTCGATCAAAATGAATAGCCAAGGAACACATAATTTTAATTGAAATAAGATTGACTAGGGAGGCATATTATGCTCTGTAGGTGAAAGCTGTAAAATTTTACAGAAAGGGTGGAATAATACAATGGATATTTAAGATACAGAAGCATTGCAGCTTATTCAGGTGCCTCTTGTTTTAGATGTTTAGATTTTTCCATCTACACAATGAAGGGTTTGTTTCTGTGTATTATTTCCCAATAGCATGTGAGGTCACAACATTCACAGGTTAATTCTCACTCTTAGTAGTTACAGGTAGCTTTGGAAAATCTACAGCAACCTTGTGCCTTAAAAACAGCAAGTTTTCTGGTGGGTCCCCCATAGAGCCCTCCTTGTTATTTAGCTTCTCTGGTTCCTTGGTTTGTAGCATGATTATTATTTACCTAACATTTATTAACTACTTTTAAGTGAATGCATACCATCTCTTTTGGAAGGGAAATAGGATAGATTCTGTGAGTGTGTTTGGGGCAGGTGGGAACAGGAACCGGAGGAATGAGAAGGATGCAGGAAGGGTACGGCAAAAGGCAACTGGGATTGGAGGGCACGTAGGTGGTGATGTTGAAAAAGTGCAATAGAAACTCCCAGGATTCTACAAGAGTGTCCCCAAGACAGGACTCCAAGTAATGCAAGATTTGGAGCCTGAACCAATAGCCATCCTCTGTAACCACAAAAGACTTCCAGTGGTAAGATTGGGACACCAACCCAGCCACAAAACAGTCACTTTACAATGCAGAACTTGTGAGATTAGCCAACCAATGACTGGTCTAATTTGAGGCCCATGCCAAGAGAGGGTGCCTATGCCTGGGACTGCCTGGGTAATCAAGAAGGGGATTCTGAATAGTCTAGAGACCTATTATAGAAAATCATCAATAAAATGATTCCTAATGGCATTCTTATAAACTCATAGAGTGGTATTTAGCCCCATTGTCACCAGAGAAGACTCCAACTGAATCTGATGGGAACAGATACATAGACCCACAGCTAAACATTAGGTGGATAGAGAGGCAGAATTGTAAATCTCCATTGGTTGCCTCCCCTTGGAGCTTGTGAAGTCAGTAGAAAATGGGGAAGAATTGTTGGAGCCAGAGGGGTCAAAGATACCAAAAGAACATGGCCTACAGATATTAACTAAGTAGGGCTCATAGGGTCTCTCAGAGACTTAAGAAATGATCACACAGTCTGCATGTGTTCTTTTTATTTATTTATTTATTTTATATAACCAAGTCCATGTAAATGAAAACAAACATTTATAGACAATCTTTGGGAATTTGGGCGTCGTTCTTTCCAAACTACTTCCTGCTGGTAAGGGCGCTGTCATGGGGGATTCTAAGAAGATGCAGAAATCCTGGCTGTAGTCTGTAAGGCTGCTTTGTCCAGCTGTTTTGAATGTAGGATCATCTGGTACTCTGTTTCAGGTGGTCTGGCTTGATCAAACCACATTAGTCTGGAAGGAATCCACAGCTTTTCATTTTCTGTGGAAACAAAAATAGAAATCCTTTTCGCCAGTAGCTTGTCCTTGAACTTAAATTTTGGAGTCAAACCATTTTTTTAATTTAATTTTTTATTTTACATGTTGATCCCAGTTCCCTCTCCCTTCCTCCCTTCCCTCCTTCCCTCCCTCGCTTTTACCCTCTTTGCCCTCTTACATGCACCCTAACCACCCTCCCTCCCATCCCCTCACCCCAATTCCATATGTAGGGGAATGCCATCCAGTTGGGGTCATGTAGATCTGACAGGTCCTGTGAAGTAGGGACTAGGGCTTCTTTCCTGTCTCTAGGTTAAGGCAGTTATCCCTCCATGGGGGATATGTTCGCAAAGTCCTTTTGTGCACCAGGGATACATCCTGGCTCCACTGTCTGAGGTCCCTTAGACTTCTCAGTCCTGGCTGAGACCCATAATCAGGGTCTGAGTCAGTCCCATGCTGGCTTCCCAGCTATCACTCTGGCAGCCCGTTAGCTCCTCCTTGTTCAGGTAAGCTGTCTCTATGTGTTTCTGCCGCCTGGTCTTGTCCTCTCCCTCTGCATCTGGGTTCCACTTCGACTCAGTGTTTATGTATGGGTGTTTGCTTCTGTTTCCATCAGGCATTAGTTGAGGGATCCATTGATAAGTTAGTTGTTGATCTCGCTCTCCGGGGAGGGCATTTATGGTAGCCTTTCCACAGAAGCTCAAATTGTTAGTTGGTGACAGTCTTATAGTTCTCTCGACCTTTCTTTGTGTTCAATTTTATCTTCAAACCAATATTGGCTCCCTCTTTTATGTTCTCTCTCTCTCTCTCTCTCCCTCTCTCTCTCTTCCCTGTCTTCTATTCCTAACCAGGCTCAATCTTCCTGGTTGCACATGTTTTCCTTTCCTTCCCCTTGTTTTCTCCTACTTCTTTCTCCATTCACTGCCCCCCCACCTCCCCTGTGCTCTGGGAGACTTGTCCCTTCCCCCTTCTGAGGGACTTTATAAGAATCTCTTAGAATACAGCTTGTATCCTAGTTCTTCTGGTGGTGTGAATTATAGGCTGGTGATCCTTTGATCTAGGTCTAAAATCCATATATGAGTGAGTACATACTGTGTTCCTCTCTGCATGTTGTTCTTGTTAGGTCCTTTGCACAAATGTTATGGTTGGTAGTGATGGAGGATTTTCTCCTGTATATATGTTTTTCTTATTGGTTGATAAATAAAAGACTGTTGGCCAATAAAGCATGAAGATAGGTGGTTCAAGGAGATGAGGAGAATTCTGGGAAAGGTAGGCAAATGGAGTCGCCATAGGGTAAGATAAGGCCACGTGGAAATACTTAGATTAATAGAAATTGGTTAATAATTAAGACAGAGCTAGCCAATAAGAAGCCCTAGTCATGGGCCAACAGGTACATAATTAATATAGCATCTGTGTGTTCATTTGGGGCCCAAATGAGCAGGCAGGATAAGAAGCTCTAGTTACAGGGAGGGATGCAGTTGAAGAGCAATGAAAAAGATATATTAATAGAGAGAGCCACTATTGGCTCAGGGAGAAACTAGATGCTAGGGTAATTCCCAGGAATCCACAACTAAGACTCCTAACAATAGTAGGGAGGTTGCCTGAACTGGCCTACCCCTGTAATCAGATTGATGAATACCCCAATTATCACCACAGAGCCCTCCTTCAGTAATCAATGGAACCAGATGCAGAGATCCACAACCAAGAACCAGGCTGAGGTCTAGGAATCCAGGCAAAGAGAGGGAGGAGAGAATAAATGAGCAAGGAAGGTCAAGATCGTGTTGGAGAAATCTACAGAGGTAGCTGAACCAAGCTTGTGGAAACTCACAAATTGTAGAGCTGAGCTTTGATCTCAGATTTAGAAAGGAAGGTCCTCTCTAGGGAACAATATGCAAATCCCCAGCTGAGTGCAGTTGTGGGTAGTGAAGAATTTCTGTTCCTTGAGCAAAGGACTATGAAATGATTCCTACGTTTGAACAAAAACATTGATATAGGTAAAAAAAAAATCTATGCTTCCTGAACAGTAGAAATAAAATGTCTTAATTTTTTTCTTAATTCTGTAAGTGTTCTAACTATTTTGCACATTGCCAGATACCTCAAAAGTTTCCATAACTATTCAATAAATATTTCTTTGTTCAGGATTTTAAAATTATCTGGTTTTTTTCCATGTTATGGTTAGTGACGTAGAACACATACAATAAAGGGCAAAAGCCTTAGGTGTACTTAAATTCATTTCCGTGTGTATTCACATTACAAATGGAACTAGAGAATGTGCCTGACTCCCTTCGTGCTTCCCATATCCCATCTCAGTCAATCATCTACCACATAGCTGTTATGTGAGGGTCCTTCCAAACTTTGAATTTTCTTGAACTTGAATTTCATAATTTTAAGTATTACTTAGTTTCTAAAATATTTCTCCACCATTGACTGTGATTCTTAAGGATCCTTCCTTCCTTCCTCTTTTTTTTTTTTTTTTTATTTTTTGAGAGAAGCTTTTACTCTGTAGCCTCATGTAGCTGTTATGTAACTTCCTATGTAGACCAGACATATTTTATTTTTTTTCTTGAATAGTTTTCTGTTTAATTTTTTGTTTTCACCAATTTCTGCCTTAGTAGTAATTATTGTTGTTTGTTTGTTTTTTTTTTTTTTCAAGCACACTAGGATTTGCACTGCAGGTTTCCCCCTTGGCTTTAAATTGTGCTATTACCTATCATGCCAGCAGAGGGGAATATTTACACGTTTATCTAGTTAAGGACACCTTCCTTAGTGTTGAAATCAGTTTAACACAATGAATAAGAGAAAGTTGGTTCCTGGGCTCTTGACTCACTTAGGCATCTACAATGTCTCCAGGCCTTTGACCCCTTCTGTGAGACTGTTCTCAATCCATTTAATTGGTACAGCCTCTGTTATCTGACGATACCGAAAATTCAGTGTCTTCAGAGAGAGAGAGAGAGAGAGAGAGAGAGAGAGAGAGATCTTCCTGGCTCTCCCTCCTGTTTATAACAACAACCCTGACTCAGGAGGATCAAATGCCCAAGCCACTCTTAAAACGGCATGAGGCAGAATGTTGGATTCATGATAGATGGTATAAAATCAATATTCATGTTTCCTACTGTTTCAGAAATGAGGGCTTTACAGTGTGTGACTTCTTGGAAATATCCCTGAAAATATGTGAGCAAAGCTTAGTTGAGCCACTGCAAGTTATAGAGAAGATAAATCTGCGGACTCAGATTATGCAATATACATTTCAAGAGTCATTATTAGCTGAACTTTAGCATGGGAAAAATTAACCTCAGACATTGAAGGACAGAACCTGTCATCCATGCAGGTCAAATGAAGCATGACTATGAGGAGAATACTCTAGATGAGGAATACACAATATTGAAGAGAAAAAAATATAAAATAACACTGAGAGCTTACTTTGTTTTTTACCAACTTAAATACTAGAAGTGAAAGGACTCATGTATTTGTAAGCCAAGATCATGCTAGCCTATGCCCTGCTTTTTGCATATTTACTTCTCAGCAACCACAGATGACTCAGACTCCCTATAAAGGGAATGAAATTAGAAAAGAGATGTTTGTAGTCAGAGAGAGGGACCAGACAAGAAGATGGGTTTCCTGGTGCAAAGTTTCAACTTGCTGCTTCTCACTGTCATAGGTTAGAAAGAGGGCAGGCTCTAAACTCACACTTAGCATCTTTTCTCACAGAAGTTTTAGTTTAAAGGAAGCAACTATCCTTCCTTCCTTTCCTTGTCCTGCTCAACCTCTTGTCCTCATATTTTACTTCTTTATAAAGTATGTAGGATGAAAATATTCTGGGATCCCATTTCCTACTAACTTACATTTCTTTTCATCTTCCCAAACATAGTATCAAATGGAGAAATTCTTCTGAGCCAGTCTCCAGAGTCCTTGGATGTTTCTCAAGGGGAAAGGGTCACTATCACCTGCAGGGCCAGCTCAAGTGGCATCCCTGATAACTTCCACTGGTACCAGCAGAAGCCAGGATCTTCCCCTAAGCTCCTGGTTTATGGCACATCCAACCTGGCTCCTGAAGTCCCAGATCGCTTCAGTGGCAGTGAATCTGGAACCTCCTACTATCTCAAAATCAGCAGTATGCAGGCTGAAGATGCGGCCACTTACTACTGTCAGCAGAAGAGCAGTGTCCCATTCACACAGTTCTAGAAAGCAGAACAAAAACTCCTTCCACCTTGTCAGAACACAGCTGATTGCCCCTCAGAAGATACAATATAGGCAAAAGTTTGACTGATATGTGACAGAATCTCCCAGTATTTCTGCCATGGAAGCCGGGCTGGATTTCACTTAAAGTTCTTATGCAGCCCTTCTTGCAAAGAAGAGTAAATGTGTAAATGTAGATAATAGGATAAGATATCCCAGGACCACATGGTTTTGGAATCCTTTGCTGAGGAATGCTTGAAGGCTGTGATTGAGATTTCCTTACCTTGGGACACTGATTCTGGGGGAGTGTCGTTGGGTTTTTGGGAATATATGTAGGTTTCATATTTTCTTAACTGTTTCCAATTTAGCAGGAACAGCTTCTCTGTCTCAGAGAAGTATTTTACTAGCAACTCTGTCTTCAGGAGTAAGAACTAAACAATGATAGCAGACTTCTCTATTACTTTTTCTTGGGATGGGGAATATTGATGATAGCATCTTATATTTTTGTAGGCTGTGCAGTGCTGTGGAAATAGATGTACCTAACAAACAATTGTTAATGTAAAACCTTCAAACTATAAAGATTTGTCTTCATTCCACTAAGTAAAGGGTAGAGACATTGTACAACCTAGTCTTTACATTTTAGAATCTGGATGTACACACAGGTATACATATATTCACATTCAGATGTCATCAACTATGCTTCTATATAAAATGGTTCAAATGACTAAAATAAAAATTATTCCAAAGTGTTATATATTCAATACAATCCTTCCTTCACATTAAATATTTATATTTTACTTCATTGTGGTTTATTTGCTTTACCCTGAGCTGCTCCAGTACTAGCAACTCCTAGACAGCCAGGTGGATATCCATTTGTCTGCGAATTTCAAGATTCTATTTTTTTCCACTGAGTAGTATTCCATTGTGTAAATATGCCACATTTTCCTTAATCCATTCTTCAGTTGAGGGGCATCTAGGTTGTTCCCAGGTTCTTGATATTACAAATAGTGCTGCTATGAACATAGTTGAACAGATGTCTTTGTTGCATGGATGCGGATCATTTGGGTATATGCCTAAGAGGGGGACTGCCGGATCATGTGGTAGACTGATTCCCATTTTCCTGAGGAACCGCCATACTGATCTCCAAAATGGCTGCATAAGTTTGCACTCCCACCAGCAGTGGAGGAGTGCTCCCCTTTCTCTACATCCTTTCCAGCATAAGCTGTCATTGGTGTTCCTAATTTTAGGGTTCTGACAGGAGTGAAATGATATCTCAAAGTTGTGTTGATTTGGATTTCCCTGATGGTTAAGGATGTTGAGCCCTTTCTTAAGTTTCTTTCAGCAATTTTGGATTCTTCTATTGAGAGTTCTCTATTCAGTTCTGTACTCCACTTTTTAATATCGTTATTTAGTGTTTTGGTGACTAGTTTTTTGAGTTCTTTGTATATTTTGAAGATCAGCCCTCTGTCAGATGTTCGGTGAAGCTCTTTTCCCAGTCTGTGGGCTGCCTCTTGGTCTTATCGAGTGTGTCCTTTGCCTTACAGAAGCTTCTCAGTTTGAGAAGGTCCTATCTATTAATTGTTGATATTAGTGTCTACGCTAATGGTTTTATGTTCAGGAAGCAGTCTCCTGTACCAGTTTGTTTAAGGATACCTCCCACTTTCTCTTCTAAGATGGTCAGTGTGGCTGGATTTATGTTGAGGTCTTTGATCCTTTTGGACTTGAGTTGTGCATGGCAATAGACATGGGTTTATCTCCAAGTATTTCACACAGAGAATTGGTCACATTTTAGGTATAGGATTCAGCCAGAATGTCATAAGCTTGTGAGATGCGGGAAATAAAAATGTTCTTGCCAGTTTTTAGAAAATGTTTTTCTCATGAAATGAGAAATATGAGAAGCATTTTATTTAATATTTAAACAATGTAAATAATTTCTTTGTGATTTTCATTTTATTCTCTGAATATAGATTTTAATGTAGTATAGCTCAGATATTTCGTCTTTATTGCAGTGTATCATGGCATTGGCATTTTCTATAAAAGGTCACCATCTACACAAGGTCATCAAGATTTTCTTCTTTGTTCTCTAGGAAATTTATAACATTTTGCTGTGTATTTAGGGTTATGATACATTTTGGGCTAGTTTTTGTGATGATTGTAAGGTTTATACTTGATGTCACAGGTAAGTGGCTGTTCAGGGAGATGAAATGGGGACATGGTAGGAAGCAGCAGTGGCCCCTGAACTGGTCAAAGCAGATGGAACTGGCATGGGTATCTATTTTCTTATTTGTAAACCCTCATTTCCCAAGTATTCCCTGACACTTTTGATAGGTTCTGAGATCTGGCTGGGAATCCTCATTGATGTTGTGGAAGAAAGTCTTGGTTTGGGTACCCTTCCTTCTGATGCCCCCGTCTTCTGTGTAGGGCTAAGTCATGTAAATATAGCACCTCCTTTTGTTGTACTCTTCTTGATTCCTCTTCCTTTCCAGGTCCTCCTCCTGTTTTCCTGTCTCATGTGTATCACCAGAGAGCACAGAAAAAAGAAACACCCAACATAAATAAACGAATACTTATTTTCACACTAAAGAGGATATTAGCTTGACGTTCATAATTCTTTGTTAGAAAATAAATTGAGGTAAGTGATTGGAATGAACTCTGAGTTTCTGATCCTTCTCAATAAAACTTAACTCAATAAAGTAAATGTTCAAAAGTTCCCCACATGACCTGATGTGTAAGTGATACAGCAGAAAAACACTCAAAGATCTTTCAGAACTATGAAAATCTAGAAGAAATTACTCATGATTTTTTTTGTGATACTTTCTTTATCACTTGCAAAATTATGTCTAGTAGGCATGTATCTAAGACCTAGTCATATACATACATGAAGTTAAAGAACTGAAATAAATTAAATTAACCACAGGATTCCTTTCTACCCAATTAAAAACATATAATCTTTTGAAGGTCCATGTCCTTTTACATATAAACTTGGGTCTCCAGGCACTTCTATTATTATCAGTAATTGAGTAGACATGTTTTCAAAGAAAGTACTTGAATATGTTAGGTGAGTGTTACCCATTCACATAAACAGCCTGTGTGACCCAGTTTTATGGATGCTATTCTCATTTCTCTGTTAAAACACAAAAGCAGATTTATATCTTTGCCTTGGCTCTATATCTTGTTCACCTCTAAAATAACATCAGTATGTACCAGCATCTTTCCCTCATTTTGTTACGTAGATGAGTTATAAGCATATGTGGGAAGATTCATTGTGTGCTATGATAAGAGAACATCTCTCCTGATTTTCTGAGATATACTTAATGTAAATAATTCATGGAAATCAAGGTAATATTCCTTCTGAATAAAAACATGGAATCAAGACTCACAGCAACTTAGACTTTGTTTGCTCACCTATGAGAAATCAAGTTCATTGTAAATGACCCCACACTCACCTGTGGAGTGGCTCTTCTTTACCCATTTGTTCTGGTAAAGAGTCTCTTTACTTGGTTGTTTCTTGTGTTCCAGAACTTTTGGTGGTGGATTTCTGAGTCAGCATAGCATAGAGCAGTCTGAAATCAAATTACAATGTTTAGTCTAGGGTTTCAAAATGCCAATATGAGTATTCATTTACTTGTAAATACTTCCCATCAAAAAACCCATTTTTGATGTGGTATCTGATGTACAGAAACATCATGTGGTATGAAAACAAGGACATTGTAATATTTAGGAAAAATAGATTTAGAAACAAAGCTATTTTAGAATATCTTAGAATAAACAAAGCTCATTAGAATATTTACTACAAAGAAAAAAATCATACTAGAAGGTATGTTTTAGAGATTGGAACATTGACAAAGTATGTTACTTTGTATTTCAGGTTGGTCTGAAACTCAAAATATTACCATATTCTATTACTCATATTCTATGAGTCTCAGACTCATAGAAACTCTCCTTCCTCTGCTTTTACAATACTATACTAGGGTTATAGAGATAAGCCACCATAATTTTCTCTGAATGATATTTGATGCAAAAATTATTTGGGACAACAGAATGTCCTAATGGAAGCGTTTTATGCCTTACCATATAAAAGAGCTATTCCAGGCTTGTACTACAAAACTTTCAGAGCTCAAATCATGGTTGTGACACACAAAATGAGACTGTGACACACAAAAATAATACCTTATTCTCCATTCATTCAAGAGAAGCATAAAGTCACATGATTTCTGTTTTGATCTTCTATTTCTCCTACCTACTTATACATCTTTCTCATTATTGTGTTCTCTTGTCTCATATTTTTCCACTAAGATGATAATGGCTTTATTTGACTCATTTAATTCTAGTAGTTAGTTTGAGTAAGAGTACAATCATCCTGCCTGCATTTCTGGTTCAGTTCATGGCCTGATAAGAACTATGTTGCCATGTGTTCTAAGGAAAGTGCATTTCACCACCTCTAATAATGTAGCTGTTGAAGAATGGAAGCAGAATGTGCTTTCAACTCTAACTGAATCTGCTTTGCATAGTCCCCTAGGGATCCACACACCACAGTTACTATTGTTGACTCCCCTGAGGGCCAACAGATTTCTTAGAGTGGATCAAACCTTTCCAAGCAACAGAGGATCTTCATCCAGCTCTGTGCTCTCTGTTGCTCTTCACCTCATATGAGAATAGAAATGGAGTAAAGGAATTCTTGAAGCTTCTTCTCAAAGAGGATTCTGAAGAATGTCAGAAAATTCCATCCTACTTTTGACATCACCCATATGATACTGCAGACATAAAAGCGGATAAGTAACCTAGTTTCCAGTTTTCTTTGCTGTCTATACTGGACATAGAAATGTTGTCACCTGAAAAATTAATCCACGAGTTTCTGTTAGAAAAAAGTGCCAGGACATGTTAGTAAATCCTGGTAATGGGGTTTGTCTCTCCTGGTTTCAATTATCCTGTAGTGAGATTGGTCTTTCAAAACTTAGCCAGGGAACCTTAGCATGTGCTAGTCAATATTTACCTAATCTACATGA